CCGGAAGGAAAGAGAGCGAAGGCCTCTCCTCCTCTCTTCTTATAGTCTGGCTTACGTAAAAATCGTAGGGAATACTGGGTAAATCTGGACCCTTCCTTGGTTACAAACTGGTCACCAAGGAAGGCCTAGCCCAAACCACCACACACAGTAATAGAGTTGGAGCAGGAAATAAGCACTTATGACCATATAAAATCCCCACCTCTTCCTCTGCACGGAACCCTGTTGGGATGTTCATTCCTGTGGCTTCCCAGCACTACCACCCAAGGATGCATGAAGCTGCCCTGACTTCTTTTATTCCCTACACATTTTCTCAAATGCACAATAAACCCAATCTCTAGCTCTGGCCACTGGCACAAGGAGTCAATGTTTAAAGCTGAATTCCTTCACAGCCTGAAAGGGATGTTGACATCACACAAATGAACCATAGCTTGATCATCCATCACCACATCATGGTAGGTGTCTGTGAGACTGCTGGTCCATGAATAGCTCTGCACTGTGGCAAGACAGAAAGGCTTCAGAAGATTTTCAATCACAATAGTCAAAAACGTGGATTTCATATCTCTGAAAGCTGCATGGTAACATTTCCTTACTGCAAAACTGCTTTCAGAAAGAAGGCTGCTATTAAATAAAGCACAAGTACACGAAGGTTTCCCAGTAAGCACACATTTAAGTAAGCATCAGACCCTTCTCTGTTTAGTTTGTGAGATCATGTAAATAGTCTCTGAGATCTTTGTGACATTACAATGGCATCTGTAAAGGATTAAAAATACAAGTATAGTGAATAGGAGCAGTATTTTGGTAGCAGGCATGGTATTTGTGAAATCACATACCACTGCGTACAAATACCAGATGTCCTTCAGTTATATGAGCCTGGGTAAAACTAAGGATGCTCTTGTTTGGAGAAAACTTCAGAACCAAGTGCCCATTGCTAGGTGGAGTAATGGAATAAACCAATTCTGATGGTGAGGAATCCTTGTCTTTTGCGCAGAGTCATCAATAGTTATTTCTATGATGGAACCCACCCAGACCTAGAAAAACAAAATAATAAAAATAAATAAAGAAAATGCATACAAAATAAAATAAGGGGGATGGGGAAGGGACAAGGATGGATGATATGTAACTCAAAGAAAAAGAAAGACTAGAATAAAGATTTGCTACACTAGGAGCTATGGCAAGTTTCCTTACTGTCCATCCAAATCTCTGATCATAGATTGGAACAGTTGATGTTGGCAAATGGTTTTCAAAATACGAGACCTTGGAACAGTACAAGCACATACACCCTGCACCAGTTAGAGCTTCAGTGAGTTGCAGCACAAGTGCTCTATTTGTCAGGCACCATGCAAACCCTAACAAACATAACAAAAATTGTATTATGATAGCTCAGTCAAGGAGCTACTTTCCAACACACACGCATGAATATTAGCGTCATGTACTTCACAGCAGGCAAAGCATTCAATATGCTCTACTTTCACCAGCAGAAAAGATAAAAGAAAAACAGCCTGGGGACAGCAAAAATTTTAATACAAATGGAACACTTGTTGTAGCTGCATTATTTCCTCCTAACAACACGCACTAAAGACCCTTTTATAATTGCACCAAACAACTCACAGAGGTGCTCAGTTCAGTGGGAGATGAAAGAACCAACACCTCCAATAGCTGCTTAGCACCTAGCAAGGTCATGATTCCAGACAAAATAGCTAACTAGTTTTTAGAAAGATGGTATAAATACCATTACTTAATTCTAACAAATAAATTGTGTCACAGAATATGTGCCATGAAAAAGAGATACTAAAATGAAATTAAATGGTTTTTTTATAAGTAGAAAAAAAGTTTGAACAATAAGTTTATAATAGAAAATATCTTGCAACCAGCAAACAGCTATTTTCTCCTTGAAATATATATTTCTCTGCAATGTAATTACTAATATCGAATTTTGATAAGGAATGACACCTATGAATACACAGGACGATAACTAATGGTAAAGGGTGACTTAGTGAGTGGCATCAAATATGCTTATCAGTGTCACAGGTTTTGTATCGAGACCCTCTTCTCAGTAGCACCCATATAGATTATTCTACACAGAAAATAAAAGGTGACACAGAATATGCAAAAATATAAGGAATTACTCTGGATGTTACTACAAATTACTTATTAAGTTTCAAATTTTTTCTCTTACTAAAGGAAAAAAGAACTATAATTTCTAATTATAGAAAAAAGTGTTTTTTCTATAATGCCAGTATTTAATTCCATTTTTCTAGCAAATTAACACACAATGCTTTTCAAGTACTAAACATGACCTGCAACGTGATCCTTGAGGAATGAAAGGAGATCCAACAGCTGAAAAGAGCAGTAGGGAAGCAAACACTAACAGTACAGCAAGAAATGTACAAGCATCTTATTTTCCATATCTGGGATCAAGATGTCCTTGAAGAACACCATAAAAACTGTATCTGAACTCCCAGGATGAAGCATTACACTAGTTTTGCATATGCCTAACACATCCCACAGCCATGGTCCAAAAAAGGTTCATGCCTCTGTCAATGGGAAATAATTCATTCTGCTCTACTTACAGCATTCGACTCATCAGTATCTCCTTGCATGCCACATATCCTACCAGACACTCTATATTCATAGCCATTTTAACACTTTAGACTAGAGTGACTTAGAGAAAACAACAAATTAGGGGTTTTTTAAACCTAATTGTAGGAAAATATAGCCCTCTTGTGGCAAAAGGAGGATACAGTCATTTCATATATTGCTACCTACAAATATCTTTAAACACATACATAAATGCAGAAAGTAATGCCAGGACGGTAATTTTCTTTAAAACATCCTCTTTCCCTTGCCCATTCCCAACACAGAAAAAAAAATCCATAGAAAGTATGGAAACTTGAGGAAATTATACCTAAAATGCTGATAATATAAGTTTCTAAGTAAACATACCCCTCATTAATTTGTTCCAATGGAAAGGCTTTAAAAGAAATGCAAGGATTACCACCATACGTTACAGAAGCTCTCAAGACTATAAAACTTTCTGTATCTCATACGTTATGTCATAAATTCTTAGTCAAGGAAAAGCAAACAAACAAATCAAAACAAACAAACAAAAGAAAGCCACTAAACCCACCCAAAACCTTCACTTACTTTCACTTCCTAGAGAAAATACAGAAACAACTCCCAAAATGTTTGGTTCTCTGTCACACAAACTCCATGGTGTTCATAACCCCCATGGTGTTCACAACCTTAGTAACAACAGACAAGGTTGTTTGAAGAAAGGATGTTACAGATGGGGGAGCTAGAGTTGGACTTGTTCAGCATATGTGCACATGACCAACAGTTTCTGGCATTTGGCCAGAAGCCCATGACAAAGGCCAAAATTAACTTCCATATATCCACACCAACATCATAGCTGCTATATAATGCAGCTCTTCACAGAAACTATTTCTTAACAGATGCCAACAATAGCACTGCTTTCTAGCTCTTTATACTGTAACCTGCAAAATTTCTGAGAGGCTGAACTTCAGTCAACTCAAACAGTTCATCTGGACTTTAGTTTTCACAGTACTTGTTTCTCATTTTATACATTCCCAACCCCACAAAATATATGAAAGAGCTACTGCATTTTTAAAAGCAACAGTCTATTATTCAGCAGCCACCACTAGCAATGCCCTTGAGGAGCACAAACTGCTTGGCTAGAACTTGGGGTCAGCCACTATCACTCTACACAGAAATGCCTATCTCATCTCAACACTTAGCAGGACTAAGAAAAAAACATTTTCTCCCACTTATTTGGGATGTGCAAGTTTGATTTGAGGAAGAATCATCTCAGTGTATTCCTCCCAGTATACAACCCGACTGACAGCTTTGTTTTAGACTGCACACGAATCCACCATATGTGTGCATTTTGGTCAAAACCAAAGATTATTTCTCAACAACAGCATGTGCCTGACTAGCATAATCACAGGCACAAAGGCAGCATCCTTGTTCTGGGTAAGTAAACAGCCTCCCCAGTTATCATTGTTCTTGGGAAGCCTACACTTACAGATATTTTTAGAAAAATCCATAAGTTGCATTGCCATGCACTGTACAGCCTTCATTTTGTTAAGACTGCAGTACAATGCCAGTAATGCACCAGAATGGAGACTGAAAAGTCTGACTGGACATATTGCCTTTTTCCCTGTGACTAAACATTACTGCATGCTGTGCTGATGTCTGCACTGTACAGCTGTAATTACTTCAACCAGGAAAGTTTTTGCTCTGTATCACTCAAATGTTCATAAAGGGAGTCTGCCCCTCTGCCCAGCAGCGTCTGCACAAGGTAGGGTGTCTTCGGTTGTGGGCAGATTATAACAGACTACCCGCTGTCATTGTGAAGTTGTGCAATACCACTATTGCTGATTAAAAATGTCTTTTCTCATGTGAGAAGGCTAAATACATAACACAGTGTTATGATCATCTCAAAATACCATGTTTTAGCTTCTTTCAAACCTATTCCTAAGTATTTTCTTCGTCTTGCTGTCTCCCAAGTGGGTTTACTGTGACCACTGGTTCATTAGCTGACACAAATTCCTTTCATTCTGCTTTTCTGGGTCACTTAATTTGTTTTTACTCATCAGATTTCAGATTGGAAATGGGGGCTTCATGGGCACAGTGCCTGTAATAAATTGTTTCTGGTTACTGAGTGCTACCATAACACAAAAAATAACAATGCTGTAGCTAAATAAATTAATTAATTAATCAATCTGAAAATGCACTGAAATTGAAGTAATAGTTGTTGTAGATTTTTTTTTCAAATATCAATAGATTCAAAACTCAGCTATTAAGAGCAAAATGTAGCACTAGTAAACAATTTTAACATTTTCTTCAGGATTTTTTTTGGGGGGAGGCAGAGTTAGAAACAAGTTAACATGCCGGTTTTTTAGCTTATAGTATCACACAGGGATAGCTTCAGTGCCTGCACCAATATTTTGACGACCTGTAACACCCCAGATTTGCATTGTATTATTTGCAACTTTTAAAGAAGAGAACATTCCTGTTTTGTACAAGACATACCCAATATATAGTCAGGTCTGACCCTTTAGTACACTTAATGGCAAGAGGCACAGGGTAGGAAGGCATTCTCATCATCACTACTCTTGTCACTTTTCTAAGTTACATGTTCATTAACAGCCCTCAAGACACCCTAGCAAACAACACTAAAACATAACAATGATGTTGCAGGATTCAAAGTGTGAACAATTTCCATTGCATTTCTGTAGG